CCCGGCTGAGATCTCAGACACCAACACTGCCAGAAGCTGAGGAATGAATAGTTCAGTCCCAAAGGGGGCAGACCCGAGCAGTACTCCACATCATCTGCTACAGTGCATCCCTGTGTTGCTTGGATCCACTTGCCTTTTTTTTTGTTTTTTGCGGTACGTGGGCCTCTCATGGTTGTGGCCTCTCCCATTGCGGAGCACAGGCTCCGGACGCGCAGGCTCAGCGGCCATGGCTCACGGGCCCAGCCGCTCCACGGCATGTGGGATCTTCCCGGACCGGGGCACGAACCCGTGTCCCCTGCACCGGCAGGCGGACTCTCAACCTCTGCGCCACCAGGGAAGCCCCCACTTGCTTTTTGAGGCACACCCGGGGAGAGGATCCTCTGGGAGTCTGGGGCATTTCTTTTCCTGGAGAAAGGCTAATTGAACAACTTACAGCCCCACTGCTACAGCTGGTCTCAAGGCCACAGTAATACTTATCATCTCTCTTCTAGATTCCCTAACAGTACTCCTCGAAACTGTCAAGGTCATCAAAAGCAAGGAAAGTCTGAGAAACTATCACAGCCAAGAGGAGCCTAAGAGAACATGATGACTATATGCAATACAGTGACCCGGACAGGATCCTGCAACAGAAAAAGACATTAGGTAAAAACTAAGGTATTGGAATAAACTATGGACTTTAGTTAATAATAATGCATCAATAGTGGTTCATTAGATGTGACAAATGTACCATGCTACGGTTTGATGTTAATAATAGAAACTTGATATGAGGCATATGGGAATGCTCTGTACAACCTTTGGAACTTTTCTGTAAATCTAAGACTATTCTAAAATTAAGAGTTTATGTTAAAAATAACAGAGAAAAAGTAGATTGTTGCTAGACTTTGCACTCATGCCTTCGTGAGTCTGACAAAAACCCAACTCGTGATAAGCAGTTTTTCAAGTAATGTGTAATTATCCCTTGCAAATGGCATGGCCTTACTCCAGAACCCGAGGAGTCTGTGTTGTCATTCTCCTATTGAGTTTTCCATAAATTCCACATAGCAGCTTTTCTTATCACTGACTTTTAATACTAAGGGGTCTGCAGGTTCCTATGATACAAGCGTCAAGACACTTGGCCATAGCCTGGACGTGCTTTGGAGCCCTTTCTTGCCCTGGACCTCATTCAGAGCTAGCAGCTTTTCATCTCCCCCAGTTAAATGGGATGGAGCAGTATTTCCAGGTGACAACATAAAGAAGCCTACCAAGCATTCTGCTGGCTCCGTAGAGGTGGGAGGTGTAAGATGAAATAACTCAACCTTTCCTTTGAGGGGATGTTTCAGCATGCCACAGGCCAATGGACCCCTGAAAACTTCACCGAAGTGACAGGCCCCTGAGACTCTGTAGAATTTCTCTCATCCTTTGAAGTGCATGTCTTTCCTTAAGGTCTCCAATGCATTTGCCACTTGGTACTCATCGGATCTAAGGTTACCGATATAGTAACCGATGTGATATTCTGCAGAGTGCACACGGTCCAGATCCTTTGAGGCTATAACAGACGGCAGGAGAGTTTAGACAGCTCTGGAGCAATACCGTAAATGTATACTGTTGTCCATCTCAAGTGAATGCAAACACTTTCTGACGGGTATGGAAAGAACGCATTTACCACATCAATAGTCCCATTGTAGCTGAGGCTTCTTACTTTATTCTCACAAAGATCCCATCTCTAGCTCAGCAGCTGCAATTAGGGCTACTGCTTGGTTGAATTTTCAATAATTCACTTTCATTCTCCAGTGTCCATCTAGTTTTAGGGCCAGAGTGGTGAATTAAATGGAATTATAACCAGGACCAACACTCCTGCATCCTTTAGGTCTTTAAGGGTACAAATCTCTGTCACCTTTCTGGAGTGCAATATTGATTTTGATTTACTATCTTGGCCAGGGGGTGAAACAGTTTCAGAGTCTTTCACTTAGCTTTCTCATTAAGATGGTTTTTAACCCACAGGCCAAAAAATGAATGTTGGTTGTGCCGAGTCCCAAGTATACTCAGCCCAATAATTTATTCTGGAACTGGGAAGGTGACCACTGGGTAGATCCATGAACTCCGTGGACCTACTGTGAGTCAGAACTGGGGTAGGACTCCATTATTTGAATTCCATGTACCCTCCTTCTAAATGGCACACTGTAATGATACTCTTGTCCTTGGGTATCAATGTCAACTTGGATCTTGTGTCCCATGTCCTCAGAGTGTGTGTGTATACTCCTTTCCCCAGTGTACAGTTATCTCAGCAAATGACCATAGGTCCTTTAGAGGCAGGACTAGGGGAAGCAGTGCCGTATGCACTTGCAGTGGTGTTTCAAAGTCTTCCTTCTTGGGGATCTAGTCTTTCCTTTAGTCAGTAGTTTCTGGGTCTAGAAAATAGCCAAGGTCTGGAAACTTGGCAAGAGATCATAACTACTTATTATGTGGCTGTGGCTGGGTCCTACCTATCTCCTGACCCTCCATCCTTGAGATCTTTCGACGGTACAGCCTCAGCAATACTCTTATTGGCTACCCATCTATTTTGCCCCTAGGGATGCCATGATCCATCAACCATCTCCAAATCTCTCTGCAGGTAACCCTCAGATCTGGCCATTTCTTATGATAATTGTGTCCACTTGTCTCCTGACAGTGAAGCATTGCCACTGGGCCCCTATTCTGCCATCCCCATTGCTACCAGTGAGCCCACTTCTGGAACAGCCTCTGGCCTACAGGGATACTACTGAGTTTTCAGTGATGCTGGTGACTCCTCACCAAAGCATTCTTTATCACTTTGGCCAGTGTGTCCACTGTGCCTTCCTGGGGCCTCCTTTAAGAAAACATAAATACTTTATTATTTGTTGCAATAATTTTTTTATTGCAACAAATAATATTTGCAACAAATATTATTTGTTGTTTCATGGAATAGGAAATCAGGTGTTCTATCTGCTAATTACGGGGTTTTCCCCCTGGTGCACACTAAAATAAGTAACTATTGATATAAAATTTTCCATCCATCTACAACCTGAAACTGCCCTGCAGACACACGTGAACCTCTGGATCCCAGTTGTGCTGAGCACCTTGTGACCTGAAGTGGTCATGTCAGTCACCCTCAAGCCTCTCTCATGTACTCCTCAATGGATTTGAGCACAGATCTGCCCCTTGACTAGCTTTAGAATGATGGGAGGTCCTTAAGCCCATCTATCTCTCAACCTCTTTACCCTTTAATTTAAAGGAATTATGGAAAGAACATCTGTTCCTTCTTAATTCTCAGAAATATGACACACATTCAGCTGAAAAGTAAACACAGAAACCTCTTAATCCTTTGCAAGGCAAATTTCCTGGATAATTCCATGAGTTTTTATAATCATAGAGACAATTTTATCCTTACTTATTCATTGCCAAAAATAAAGACTATGTTTATAATGTATTCTCCATAGATGCAAACAATCTCATCTATTTTGACACCAAAAAAAGGCAGAAAGACAAAATACAAATTCCAAGGACAAGGATGAAAACAATATGATTTTCAAAGTTTTTTATTTGTTTTGGTTTAATTTATTGTTTGTTTCTGTTTGTTTCACTGTTTGTATGTTTATCTTGCAAGAGCCTGTAGATGTGAGGGAACATATCTGCAGGCTAATTTTAAACAACGTGAGAGAGGTACTAAGTACTAAATAAAACAAAATAAAAAATGTCTTTTTTATTTTAAAAAATAAAACTTTTAGTTTACTTATTAAACTAGGAAGAATATTCCTGAAACATGTGAGTTAAATCGGTCTGCAAAGCATTCATAAATGGAGAACATGTATCTCCTCTAACAAATATTTTAAACATTGTGTTCACTACCAAAAGAGCTAATCAGGGTAGGGAAATTGTGAAGTCACAATCCCCCGCGCAGACTAAATACAAGTTACTTTTTAACTTGAAGTCAGAAAAGTAAAATCTGTAAAAGTAAAAATATTGCCATTGTTCTCAGCAGTCTACTGACAAATACGACAAGCTCTCAAAGTCTTTTCAATAAAATGAACCCTGATTTCGTGGCAAGCTCCTTGCTTAGGTGGCAATTAACTTTTTTTTTTTTTTTTTTTGCGGTACGCGGGCCTCTCACTGCCGTGGCCTCTCCTGTTGCGGAGCACAGGCTCCGGACGCGCAGGCTCAGCGGCCACGGCTCACGGGCCCAGCCGCTCCGCGGCACGTGGGATTCCCAGACCGGGGCACGAACCCGTGTCCCCCGCATCGGCAGGCGGACTCTCAACCACTGCGCCACAAGGGAAGCCCGGCAATTAACTTTTGAAACTGGGCTGCTCAATCTGTGGATAGACGCAAACTGTATTGACAGAATTGCTCCACTTTGAAAATCATCTTCAGGATGGAAGAAAGTCCAGCAATGACCTTCTTCAATGCAACACTGCCTGAAGAGTTGCTACTGCTGCTGCTGGTGCCTCGCGGGGCTAAGCCCCAGGCTGGCAGGGTGAGCACTGACCCCAGTGCACTGTGACCACGGGCTCTCCGTGCCCACTCTGGGTCCTGGAGCTGAGGCCACGCTGCATGAGAGATCCCTGGGCAGGTGCAACTCTCAGTCAACAAGCTGGAAACAGGTTAAAGAGAAGAGAAGACAGTAAAGGTCAAATAGATGCTATCCCAGATAAAATATCAAGGGTTTGTGGACTAGAGCTGGACAATATGTAAAAATGAGGTAACCAGATATCAATAACGTTGAGAATTCAAGATGCTTGTACCACAGCTGAAGACACAGCTTTTCACATGGAGCTGCAGGAAGTTCTGCTTGGGAGCACTCTATTTAGGATTCACTTCTGAGCGGCACTCCTAGATAGTCCTCTTATTTGGTACATCTAAACTTCTGAATAATCCCAAAATGATGCCTCCAACACCTCCAAGGTTCTGTAGGTGCTTCCAAATCAAAGAAAGGTCTTGTCACGCCTGGTATTATTTTGGTGTTAGCCTATATTATATAACAATTATTTAAAAATTGGTAATCCATATTTGGGCTCAATGATAGCTCTATTAATCTTATTTTATTAACTAGAACATCCTATTCTCCCAATAGGATTAGTGGCTAGAGCTTATTGTACAACCAAAACCAAAATGGGGGCAATGGGTTCTTGGAATCTAATCACCCATGATGAAATGTCCCACTGACCAACTCTCTGATGCAAGATCACCAGGGCGTTTCAACGCAGCCTCAACTTTCATATAGTCAAGTCCTCATGATGAGCAGATATCCAAACGCTGAGACTTTTGTAGGACTCAGAATCCTTCTTCTCTTAGCTAGCCTCTTCTTGCCCATTTTCTTTTACACGCATCTGTCCAACTTTGGTAGGCTGTTGAGTTCCAGTAAGAGAAATTCCATTCTGCCTCGTAGCCTCTCCCTTAGGGACTTGGAAAGGGAAGGTAGTGCAGTCCTTTCTGGCCATCTGCCTGGCATGGGACCCCAGGCTTCTTGGGGTACGTCTGACTGGCAACTTTAAAGAATTCTTCCGCAGCATCGAGTGCAATGAGACGGTCCTGCCAAAAAATTAAAAATACAAATGTTGTCAAGATGGGAACCAAGCCATGTTCGTGGGAAAACCAATCTAAAAACTACAATATCCATCCTAGAAATAATGATGAGTGAGTAAAACATTTATTAAATTTTTCCCAACAAATTGAGAGACACTCCTTAGCCCTTACTTACATTATCCAAGAAACATTCCACTGCTCTTAGTGTCCTTTCAAATCATATTTCAATCTTAGGTTATACACACAACATTTCTCACATCTCTCTGACCTAGAAATGGTTCAAAAAGCTGACCGCACAGCTAAATTGGCTGAAAAATACAGACAGATTCTTGAGCCACAATGCAAGTCTCAGCCGGTCTAAGTGCAATCCAGAAACCTGAATTTTTAAAGCCTTCCAAGTGATTATGATGTGCTGGCCACTGGGTACCAATGCATAAGATGCCGGAATCGTCTGCCATACCTCATACCATGGTGGAGCTGGTGGTGTGAGAATGCTGAGACTATGGACTAATAGAGAAGCAAAACTTTAGAGCAAAATCAGAGCAGGTGGAGAAAGACATCCACTTACCACAACGAAGAGATATCTCTCCGAAAGCTCCCAACCGGTTGGGAAAATATTGGTCTCTTCAGCCAGTCTCAACAATATCTCCCGAGCTTCCCTTGTGTTTCTAGAATCACTGATGGTGCTGAGTTTGGTCACTGACAACAAAGAGTCCACTTCCTTTTGAAAACCTAAGGTAAAGAGATTGAACCCTCACGTTAATTAGTCACAAGGAAATGATGGTCCTGCAGGAGATTAAGGGACCCAACAGTGGATTAGAAATATGAGAAAACTGAAGCCCAAGGCACCACTGCCTGTGCTGCTTCCCAGCACAGTGAGGTTGGTGGGGTCCTTAATTAAAATTCCCTTGCGATTCCTTCTTACCAGATTTTCTTTGTTAACTTTTTCCTCCGAGTTAAGCCTCGGATACTCATCCACTGACTGCCTGCTGCCCCTTTTCTTGGTTTGGAAACCCTTCTCCCACTCCCCACTCTTCACCTCCTCCCCTGTTTCCTGAATTCCTACTTCCCCTGATACCTGCACAATGGTCACCTTCAGGCCCTACTTCTCCAAGCCCAGATTGCCTTCCCCGGGGCAATATGGCTGACTGGTTAAATTACTTACTGCAAAGGTCTAAAAGACTCATAGATTTACCCTTCCTGGGATAACTTACATCATAAAGAGGAGACTATGAAGTCAGGACAATACTGGGTGAGTAAAGAGGGAGAGTTCCACCCCACCCCATCATATCCCAACTAAAGCAACAGCGGCTAGCAACTTGGTACCCCACTTTTGAAAGGTTATGATGCCAAGGTGTCATGTTCTCTTTCAAAGCAGAAGGACTGAGGACTTCAAAATTGATAAATTCATTATTCTAAAACATGAAAACAAGCTTACTTTGTAATGTGAGGACCATGTTTATTGTATCACAACCCTGGCAGGTTTAAGAAAAATCAATACCCAATATCTACTCTAATACCACAGGTATTTTGCTGTCTCTCTTACAAATAATATTTCTCCCCATCTGCCTTACCTTATAAAGCTATGATTAACTGGCCAATCACTCCCACATAATGCAATCAATGTACAATGCCCAAAAAAGTCAATGGTGGTGCCCATATGATTCCACTGCCCTGTGCTACTTGATACTGAGGAGAGATGGAGTAACACACGGCAAAATATGTCCTCAAGACAGGGTCTGATGATAACAGAAACATCAGATGTTTATCTGAGGATACAGGGAGGACGGGATTGGGAAAATAATTAGTACACAGTAGCCTTAATCAGTCAGTTACTGACATTCCTTTCATAAAAACCATGCTGGAGAAAGTCAAGAGGAATGCTCACAACTGGATATTTTTACCATTTCATAATCACTTTCAGACTCACCTAAATCTTCTAAAATGCGTTTCCATCTATTTCTCACTTCCCTTCGAATCTGTCGCAGGGTGTAGATATCGTAGTTGAGTTTTTGCCACTCCTGTAGGAAAATAAAAATTCAGTTTTATTTTTACATTTTGGCCTAAATCCCTAATTCCCAAAGTTAAGCTGTTTAAGCCTGTGGTTCTCCTCTTCACTAATCTTCAAAACAAATCCCAAAAGAACAGAAGGAGATGGGAAGATGACATCAACAGGAATACATCAGCTCCATGTCTGGAGAATCTGCTGTATACCAGGTGATATGACACATTACATAAATTATCCTAATTAAACTCTTCACGTTACCTATTCTTTCAACTTCAGTGATAACACCTGTAAAGTAGGGACAACAAGAGTGAACATTCCATTTAAGATAGTTATAAAGATAAAAGGTATAAAAAAACCCTTTATATATAAAATACCAGCACACAGTGAGTACCGAATAAAATCTATGTATTACTGAAGCCATTTTATAGATAATGAAACTGAAGCCAGGAAAGGTTAACTGGTTAATCCAGTATCATCCAGCTAACGGGTAGCAGAATTGGTGTTTGAATTCAGATCTCATTCCAAAGTTCATGAGAAAAATGACACACAGAGATTTCCCTGGCGGTCCGGTGGTTTAAAAATGGTCCACATCAAAAAAAAAATCTTAAAAAAAAAAAAAAGGAAAAATGACACACAAAGAATTTGTGTCTTTCTTTGTTATCAGAATAAAGCAGACCTGAAGTAGATCCCAAGTTTCTTGACTTCCAGCCAGTTTCTTTCACCGTATCTCAGCATTGCTCTCATTCATTTATGTTCCCATTGTAGGATGAATCTTTCAAGCATTCAGCAGAACTATTAAAAGATTATCATTCTGAAAACTTCAATCTTATGAGTAGTAGGTCCCCAAACAGAACTTGAACCTTTCAGGAGCATCAGAATCTTTACTGAGCTAGGCATTTGTTCTAAATGCCATGGAAATTTGTTTTCAAGGAGACTTCTCTATCGAGAAGGGTCATTTTATAGAGTATACCTTTTCCTCTTGGCAAGAGCATTAACCACACAAGTATCCTAATGCACAGCTTAAAAGAACATCATTCTAAATGCTCAATTTAAGACTCAAGTTATATGATATTCTGACTCCACTAACCGGAAATGTTTCAATGATGCCATTATTTCCCTACCAAGTTCCTTTCAAGGCTTGCCTCGCTCATCCCTAATCAACTGTCATGACTGGTTAAGAGAAATCAATTTAGCTGCCATTCCCAAACATTTATAGATACCACTTTGAGAAAGAAAAGCTAGCAAAATAAAGCGCGTTTTGTTATGATTGCATTTTAGATCTTGGATCTGAAGATACAACGGCATCAAAAAGTCATGGATTTCACAAGACTATAATTCAAAAAGATATATGCACCCCTATGTTCATAGCAGCACTATACACAATAGCCAAGACGTGGAAACAACATAAACGCCCATCAGCAGATGACTGGATAAAGAGGATGTGGTACATATATACAATGGAATACTCCTCAGCCATAAAAAGAATGAAATAATGCCATTTGCAGCAACATGGATGGACCTAGAGATTATCACACTAAGTGAAGTCAGTCAGAAAGACAAATACCATATGATATCACTTATATGTGGAATCTAAAATATGACACAAATGAACCTATCTATGAAGCAGAAACAGACTCACAGACAGAGAACAGACTTGTGATTACCAAGGGGGAGGGGAGAAGGGGGAGGCAAGGATTGGGAGTTTGGGATTAGCAAATGCAAACTATTACATATAGAATGGATAAACAACAAGGTCCTACTGTAGAGCACAGGGAACTATATTCAATACCCTGTGATAAACCAAAATGGTAAAGAATATGAAAAAGAATGTATATATATGTATAAATGAATCACTTTGCTGTACAGCAGAAATTAACACAACATTGTAAATCAACTATACCGCAATAAAATGAATTTTTTATAAAAAGGTCATGGATTTCAGCAATTTTCTAGAAATCAGGAAGTGATGAATCTGAGTACTCTTTCCTGGTCCTCTGTTTTTGACCAAAGGTGTGTATACACATGTGTTTGCATAAGTGTGCAGTGGCTGGGGTCAGGGATGAAGCCTGTGACACTGGAAGGCAACGCTGACTGCGTCATTTCAGAAATATGCAATCCTGACCTCATCTTCAGCACCATGTTAAAGCACTCCTACCTAATGCCCCACAGACTGTGTAAGTATTCAATACAGTATTGCCATTTTCATTGGATGGGTCATTCAGTATATACAGCATTTTGGAAAAGAGCATGGGTGTCAGAGCCAAACTTCCCAGGTTTGAATCCCAGCTCCATTATTTATTAACAGCCTAACTTCGGGCAAGTTCATAACCTCACTGTGTGTCAGTGGCCTCATCTGTAATATGGAGATAGTAATACTACCTACCTCTCAGGCTTATTGTGAGGACCAAATGCTTTAATGCAGCCCTGAAAATGGAGTTTGGTGCACATTCTCCTCCAAAGCAGCGTAGGCTCAGTTAAGAAACAGTCTTCCAAGACTCAGGATGATTTCTATTATGAGGATTGAGGACACTATACATGACATTAGGCAGTACGTCATTTGTGAGGAGCTCCAGAAGAAAATTTTCTCTGCTCTTGACAGTAGGTAGGATCTCACTTTTCCTAAAAAATGTTTCACTGTTCTGAACATTATGAATTTTATAACTGATCAGTTTCCACGCTTACCTGAAAATGTCGAGTCCTTTCATGGAAAACATATAGGATTTTGAAAGCATTTTTGAATTATCAAAATTTTTACTACTTTTTATATCTTTATGTTTTTTGTCTTTTCTCATCTTCTTCTAGTTTGTGCCCTCATTGTATTTTCATGTACGTTACCTTAAGTCCTTTTTGATTAAAAAAAGACTATAGGGCTTCCCTGGTGGCGCAGTGGTTGGGAGTCCACCTGCCGATGCAGGGGACGCGGGTTTGTGCGCCGGTCCGGGAAGATCCCGCATGCCGCGGAGCGGCTGGGCCCGTGAGCCATGGCCGCTGAGCCTGCGCGTCCGGAGCCTGTGCTCCGAAACGGGAGAGGCCACAACAGTGAGAGGCCCGCGTACCAAAAAAAAAAAAAAGACTATAAATAAACAAAAGATTACACAGAGCAGCACTGTGCTTATTCTCAATGAAATTGACCCTCCTGGCTGGATTAAATGAAAAGTGACCAGGCTTCGACTCACACTTGATTAGAGACCCACACAGTCAATCCACAGATGAGATGCTTTACATGTTCACACAACCTTAAATGATGTAACATACCACTAGGTGGCTTCATTAACTTGCGATTAAAGGTCTCTGCTAATTTTTCTTTTAGCTCCTTAGGCTGATGCCTCAGAACTTCTGTCCTGAAGGAAGTGTAGCCAAATCTCTATTTTTCGGAGACCCATTCATCACTGGGTAATCCAGGCTTCAGACTTTTTTTTTAATCTTTCTTTTCTTGCTGTCCATCTATCAGTTATTTTGCTATTCCTAAACACTAACACGGAATGTTATACAAATCCATTCCGTTTCAGTGTCTGTTCCTCTGATAAACTGTTAGACGGTGAAGCAACGATGTAATATTTTAAAATCCGCTAAGGATGGATCCACACACGATGCACGTGATAAGTACCTGTTAGGATTAACAGAACGAAACGCTGCATTTCATAAATCCATATTATAACTGTCTTCTTTTGACAGAATAGTCATGGATAATCATATATGAAAGTATTTGAAAGTTCTGTGCAAAATTTAAAGCTCTAAAGCCAGAAGAAGCTTGGGCAGAGTTTTAACTAAGTACTGGCTTTTGAAAAAAGAAATAAGAGGGGAATTTGAACTCCTCTTTAACATATGACCCCAAAGGACAGAATCTAAATGTAGCAAATGAGAAACGGTGATGAACAAAATCTTACCCACAACTAAAGAAACTCATTTATTCCCTGGTATTAGAGAAAAGCAAGTCTTATGATGTCCTTCTACATTTTAAAAATTGTACCAATTTTCTTTAGACAAACAATTTGAAAATAACAAGTTAAATATTCTTCACAAGTGACTTGATGCTCAAATCTATTAGACATCAAAAGTTAAACTCTTATTTTAAAAAAATCTTTGTTTGCTCGTAATTTCTGAAGTAATACATTGTGGTCTTTGTGATGCTGCGGCCCGAAACTTTTAACAATGAATACATTAGCAGAGGTGTAATAAAAGAAATCATGCAGATTTAATTTCATAAGGTACCTGGGAACCAAGTCAAACTGAAAAAATGTGATTGAAAACAAGTAACTGAAGATGCTTAGCTTAGTTTTTGAGGTTTTTCTCCTCCCTAGTTGTTGGCCAAATCAGATCAGGGTTGCTAGATAAGAAGGATGAGGCCAAACATGAAAGGAGAACAAAGCTCAACCTCCTGCCACCATCAGGAGCTCGGTCTCCTGCAGCTTTCCATCCCATGAGCTTGCCTTGACCTTGAGTTGGGATCATTTTCTCACGCATAAAATTAAAACATTTTATTCATACCTACACTGTGTTAGTGTGAGGTTGTGGAAACATAGCACCATCAAAAAGTACTCTTACTTCTTGTTAAAAAGGTGATTTATACATTTAAAGAAATGTACGCTAACAATAGGTGACATACATATATTATTTGTTATATTCATATTTATGGTCTATTACAGTGAAAGCATACAGATTAAGTTCAGTAAAGCCAAAAGGCACATGGAGTGGAGTCCAGGAGAGACCCAGCCACAGGCTTCCAGTTGTCTCTCCCATGGAGCCATATAGACAGTACTTAGTTTTCCTAGCAATGATGTGTAACAATAGGTGACATATATTTTAAAATCATCTTATACTCTTAGGAACAACTTCAAAAGAGATTAATTTATTTTTAATTATAAAAATAATATAATCACATAAAAATTCAAAGAGAACAGAGGGTATAAAATGAAAAATAAAAGTTTACTTTCTCATTCTCTATTTTTGCCTTATTTCAGAAGTAGTTACTTCTGAACATTTTTTTTTCTTCCTCCTCCCCTCCCTCTCTTC